ACATTCCGGTTATGCTAATGCAACCAAAGCGATTGCCACGTTTGCCCAAGCGACAACTTCATTTGATCGGCCCTGTGGGGTGGTTGAGGGTTACCGTTGAACGCTGACATTAAAACCAACACGACGATCGGATCCCGAAATACATTTTCGAAATGTAATATTGGTGACGAAAGACTGCGTGTGAAAGTAAAAGCGATACTCGATGGGCTAACGAGAAGTAGACTCCCTTGGGAATTTGACCCAACGACAGTGACCGAGAACATGGGGATGCTTTCTCACAATAGACAAGAGACTTCATCTGTCAGCGCGCATTGGACCGCCTCACCCCCCCCCCCCCCCCTTGTTGCCTTCAAGGAATCTACACCGGCAAAATAATCTATATTCGAGTTAAGTTATGCTACTTTAATGCCTGAAAAATCCCCACACTCTTTCAGGATGGCTTCCAGCCACCAAGTCATGTCCTCAGATTAACAAAAAAGTAGATTCGACTGAACAAAAGTGCCAAGGTTGCAGCTTTACTGGAAAATACCGCTCTTTAAAGCCAAGATGCCAATTAACAAACAAAAACGTGTTTGAAAAAATATATACAAAATGTAGTGAATACTTTCACTTATTTTATATCCACCCACCAATACGAGCTCAGAGAGACAGCGGACTCAGCTAAAAACAACAAACCCTTTCCCATATATTTTAAAATATTTCTTTTCCGTCATTATAACCGTTCCTCTGAAACAAATCAGCACGTTTGTCAGCGCCCCAACGATCGTTACACGGGCGCATGCTCATCCCAGTCAGTCGCTGCGTGCCATTGGTGGGATACCTGCACTGCTCTCACGGGGGCCTACCACCGGTCTCTTGAAATGGAAATCACTGTCGACTTCCCACCGGAGTGGGCCCACTTGACATCAAGTCGTGGCGTAGATCACGGCCACGCTTGCCATTCACCAACGTCTCCGCTCATACGACCGCGACTGCTGTCGTATCAAACGAGCTGCGCGCCGGATTTTTTAACGACAGAATGTACAGACGCATGTGTCGATTACATCACCGGGATATGGGTAAGAATTTTAACTAGCACGGTGCTCCAGACAAGGTATTGTCGCCGTTTCCCATAACGCCTAAATAGCTTTGCATATGCACCACTGCTGTGCTGCACTGTCAGCGCATCTGAATGCAAATATCATCTTCGTAAGAGGTTTTTGTGTTAGATCGCGTAAATATAAATGTGTCGTTAAACCCACAACCACCGGACGCCACCAATTAGTAAGGTTTGTCGCGCAAACAAAACGTGCCAATTCGTTATCAGTACAGCACCCCAGTGTCTTGGAGAGTAGACCCACAACATTTACAAGTTGAGTACGTTTCGCCAGTCATTACAACCAGCATTATCATTTGAACATCACGTAATCACTGGCGAAATGTCGTACTCGAATAGTAAATGTTGTGGGTTTACAATACAACACACCGGTGTGCTGTACCAGTCACAAACTGGTACGTTTTGTTTCCGTGACAAACCTTACTAATTGGCTGTGTTGGGTGGCAGGGGGTTTAACGACACATTTATATGTACGCGATACAACCCCAAAACACCCCCCTCTATTATGGATAATATTGGTCGTGAAAGCCTACGTGTTAAATGTCATACACCTGATGACATAAACACGAAAATATATCATATTCTTGGGTCTCTCGGTGAAGCTATGTAGATAGGTTCAAAGAAAATGACAAAAAATAACCAACAAAAAAACTACGATATCGTGAGTAACAAATGAGGTACGATAGGTTATGAACAAATTGCAACCGAGACAGCCGTGGGCCTGGCCGTCAACCGCTGGACTGGAAGCATTGGCGACGATGCCGAGGTGCTACCGTGCGTTAACTTGGTAACGCCACGGTGTCCGGTGCGACCGCTATTACGATGGGCAGCCACGGAGGCGGGGGAGCTACCCTCACTCCGACGCACGCCCTCATACAAGCCCTACCGCCATTCACAGCACCACACTGCCCCAATGTCCCTCTGAGATTGGTGTTGGCTTCATTGCACACAAAGTGCTTGCCGCAAATGAAGCACAATACCTTGCCGATCTCGTTAAGCAGCATAAAAACCATCGCGCCAAATCTGGTCGTGCTCGCGGCGGTGGCTTTTTGGCTGGCCGTTGAACAAAGACGGTCACTGGCGTCGCGTGCTTTCAGGCGCGCTTCTGCGGCCTTCTGGAACGCTCTTCCTTCCGATATTAGGAAGCGACTGGAGCTATGCACCCCTGAAATCTAGATTGAAAACTCATTTCTTTAGAACCGATTTTTGTGTTTAGTTTGTTGTCCTTCCCCCGCACCTCCGATTAGCACGGTTGCCTACGGATGGTGCGAAAGAAGCTCAACATACATACGTGTTTGAACCTTTACCGATTCAGACATCACAAACCCACACGGGCCATCGTGGGTAAAGTAAAGTAAAACAATACCACACAGTCAACAGTGCCGGGCGCCTGCTATTGAGCACTGGATCTGTAAATTGTTATTCGAATGTTCCAAAACAGCACCGAATGAGCATGTACAATCAAAGGTCATGGCCTGTAATACACTGCGAGCTGAAGGCCTTCCCTGTGGAGTCCAGAGACCCCAAACGAGAACATGAATTCACGTCGGTATAAAAAGGAGCCTGTCAGTGGAGTACCACATCTTTGCATGCAATGTAAGCCGATGTGGAAGATTTGCCTGTGTCACTCTCACAGCTCGCCGAACCAAACGAGGCCACAACGCACTCGTAATAATGAATAACAATGCAGGACATTCGCTATTCGTGCCGTTCTTAAAACGCGCACAGCTTATTACGAGGGCTCTATGTTTCACAGACACGGTCTGCGGTAGTTTTGACAGCAGGGGGCGAGTTTTCGCCACGTGCAATCCCCAATTGAGCAATTTGCAGATCTTTCAAATCTGGCAAAAGCTGGGCCATGACCGCTATCTCACAATGGCCTACTCTTTTTGAATTGCGTCACGGCATCTTTGAGCGTCCACTGTGAAGCCCACCGAGCATGTTTTTACGGTTAACGCACACCGCAGCAGTGTTCATCGGGGGGGAGGCGTGCCAGATTTGAACCGCGGAAATCTTTGCAAACGAGCGGCGAAACGGCGGTTACCCGCCGGGCAGCGCCGTCACGACCTCCGTCAGAACCACGGCGGCACTACTCTCGTTTCTCGAACAAACGGCTCGGCAAAAAAACACTTGAATGCACCCCCAACAGTGGCACAACGCACACACACCGAGTGCGAGCACGAACGCGCGCCCACCGGCACCATTAACAGTTGGCAACCATCGTTAAGCTCAGCAGTCGGGGCCCGCCGAAGCCGTCCGGTGGGAAAGGGCGATCGGGTGGGGCGAGGTGCGAGCGAGCGTGCACACCGCCGGCCCAGAGACGGGACCACAAGCCATGAGGGAGTAAGCCGAGGGGCTACACCTTGCTGGGCGATCGCGAGGCTGGTGGTCGTTAAAACAAATGAAGACCCTTGGTAAAACGGTGACTGGCGACAAAATGGCAACGTTTTGATTTCGGCGTTACTGCGGAGGAGACGCAGGGAGCATCCTGGGGGCGCGTAGAGATGGCCCAAGATGATGAAATAAAAGGGCCCAAGGCTGTCCATAGTAATGGCAGCAACTCGGCTGGTTTGTTCAAACTGCATACGGGAGAGTGGTCTAGATATCATTTCAGGGATGCCGTATGCACAAACACGCGACAGCGCGTCAATGGCTTTTGAGAAGACGATGCTAAACGGATGCCTGTTCAGGTGAAATCCTTTACTTTCCTCTACACTGGAGTATGTTTGAAGGGCTTATTCTAAGAATAAGCTTTAAAACGAGGGACTTCAGAATAAGTTTATAATGAAGATTTTGGTGACAATTCATATTTCGGTAGAAAAACGTTGCTGTTAGTGTGTTATTTTTTTTACCGTAGATATTTTTTTTAAAGCAAAAAATATCAAAGTGAGTTCTTGCTCGAATGAGCACTCGGGCAAAGCTCGGCTCTTTGTTTACAGCCCTGAGCCAGGTGGTGGAAATTCAACATTCTTACGGCAGAGGTGAGTCTATCCACAGGGCAACCACTTCATGGCTTCCTCATCAAGTGGTACTTATTTTATCATCCCCGGTCGGATGATGAGCCGAGTCAAACCACCAACCAAAATTCGAATTCGCAACCTTCATATAGCGAGCGGGACCTGCTGTTCCGCCCCGCCAGACAGACTCCATGTGCTCTAAAAACAAAAATACCAGAGGAACCTTGCTTTCACCTCCATCTAAATCACATCCAAATACATCAATAATATATTACCATGATCAATAGATTCGTGTCCAGTTCACGTAACACATACATTTCTGTCCAATGCGTGCGGTAGCGTAATACCACGAGACTGTCCACAAATGCCAGTGTGTGTGTGCGCCCCCAATTTCATCTGACGAGACATTTACTCACCTCTGAAGGGGTAAAACGAAGAAAGCAACGGTACGATACGGAGACAACCGTGAGCAGTGCAGCCGAGTATTTATAATATGGCGCACGCAACCCTTTCATTGACAGCACAAAGAATAGCAAAGCGACTTGGTTATTTATAATAAAAAGATCATGGCTGCTGTCATAGCGTGCCACGTCCTTAACCAAGCCAATTTAACGTCAACCGAGGATACGAAAATTAAGCAGCACAAATTAATCCGCGGCTCGACATCGCGGAGCAAAATATCATATTCCTAAGGCGTCAAAGGGACGACAGCGCACCACGGCCAACTGCCTGCAACAGCAAAATAATCAATGGTCTATTGCAGCAGGCACGGCAAAAAATGTCACCGAAATATTCCCTCCATCATCGCAAGAACGGGACAAAATCGCCCAACGCTCGGCAGCGACCTAGAAAGTGCGAGTGCATGCAAGGCACATTAGGCGCAGACAAAGGCGGCGGCGCGGACAAAAGGGTGTTGCGGGAGGAGAGGAATAATAGAGTATACTGACGTGACGAGTCGGCGCTGAACATGGCTGCAGCAGCAGCAGCAGCGGCAGCAGAAGAAGAAGCAGCCAAAAGCAGAATAGCGCGCGCATACGCCCACGATTTAACCCCACCAAGAGCTCCTCCTCGGGCGGACCAGCGACGGCTTCACAGGAAAAACCCGCCCGCGCTCCAACCGGCTGGCGCCACGCGTCGGGTGCTCGCGACGACGGCGCCCGGGAGCCGGTCGTTGCCGCTCGCTGCAGACGGAGGCACCCACCCACCCCCCCGAGCCGAGCGTAGCGGCAGTATCGGCGGTGGTGGCGGCGGCAGCTGCCGAGGGTTTGTGCGGTGCCACACAATGGAGGCCGTGCCTCAAAGAGGCCGTGACGTCAGAGCCTGTGCAGCCGAGATTGATTTCTCCTCCTTTATGACCACACGTGCGTCGTGCACCGCGTGTTTTGAAGGTTATACGCGATGGGATAATTCCTACGGACTTGACGGCACACCGCGTGATTATATAAATACCTGCGATTTTAATCACTGGCGAATCCAAATTTCCGTCAGAATAATTTTTTGCTGGGTTCACAAAGCGCGGGCCAATGGGGTGAAGGATTGAAAAAGGTAGCAGGGAATAATTGGGTGCACGGTCTCCTTCCTTTGACGTGTGGTTCTCCATGGTTACCAACATTCGCTCTGATGCCACCCTAAATTGCGAAAGAAAAAAAAGATCAGATTGATGTACGTGCGCTAGCGGCTGCGCCAGTGCATCATCGACATTTACGTATGCACTGGATATTTAAATGTACACAATTTAATATTTTTTTTTTACAGGAATAAATATGTATAAATCACTACAAATCTCTATATATGTTTTTCTTAAAGCACATCACTGCACAGCTATTCCGTGTTAGTATATATATTTATTTTTAAGAAAGAGATAATTTCATCGACATTGCATCTCACCGATTGTGACCTCTTCAACATCAGCTGACTCAACGGTGGCGCTGCGTTCGCCGCTCGTCACAGAGGTTCGAATCCAGCGGCTGCCCCTGGTTAATACTGCGATGCAATAACGGTGATCACACCACGACGCGCCGTCTCCTTCACAGCACAGACGTTAAGCATCGTTTGACGTCATTAACAAGGGTGCGGGGGTGCCGCTGTCTGCCGGCAAAACAACTTCGCGGGAAGTCAACGTTGGCTGTCCTATCAAGGGTCTGGGCCGTGACAGGAATGTGGAATTTCCGTCGCGAGCTCAAGGCCACCTTTGTAAATGACTGCCGCCCCCCGTCGCATAGCACGGACAGGATTGTAGGTGGGATCTTAACGAGACCAGATTGCATTCACATCAAATTCGCGTAAATCGGGAGTCGTCGTCGATTAATTACCCCGTCAATTGTGGGCACGGTCATCGGTGAAACTCTCCAATCATCTTTCTAAAGTATTATCCTTCCACCACACTGCCCCAGAAACTATAGAGAATGCACCAGGAACCATTTGCCGTCGTGTTCTCTGCTGCTGTAGAGCAGTGCTCCGGCAAATACGTCTCCCGGTGATGCGAACCGAGCCACCGCAACTTTTGCGTTAGGAGTGCATTTCGTTGAAACGTGATCTTCTCCGCTTGTGGTTAAACTAGGGTAGTTGAGTTGATGTTCTCAGCTCAGTCAGCAATGACTGCACACACAAAAAAACCCCATCGCATTAGATTTACATCCTTGGGACTTTTCTTGGCCAGTACCCATTCTTATTTTTCATCACATTAGATGTGTTTCTGCATGCAATTTGGCTAAATAGCAGCGCTTTAAAAATGAACTCCCGCTTTGACTGCCAAGAGATGAACGTCACTCTCACAGGCAGAGTGGGCGGGAACGTGATGCTGCTTCTCTCCTGCGCGGACTAAGTTGTCTTGTGGTTGTTGTTGTTGTTGTTTAACTTGCATCCCACTGGGATTTTTGCACACAGCGTTGGTGTACGGTGCTTTTTCTGCAATATTTTGCTGTCTTTTCTTGGATTCTCTGTTTGCACATAGTCACTTTAAGATGTTTTCTTTTTCATGTTTTAGTTTTTTTTGTTTGTTGCGGTTGCACCCGATTCAAGAGCCGAATGGCTCACAGGGCTACACCTAATACATGAACTTGAACTTGAAAACTTGACCAGAGATCACTCGAAGAGAGACCTCAGAGGGAGCTCTACGATATCTACTTTGTTGAACCGTTCTCCAACGCGAAAGCGTTGCACTGCACTGCGAGAGGTCCGAATGAAACACTTTAATACACTTAGGCTTTTTCGGTAAAGTCACGTAGGTAAAAAATAAAATTAATAGAAGTAATAATAGAAATAAAATAATAAATCACGACGTTTCGGAGGCAACACAAGTCTCCGTTATCAGGTGGGACCGTCACATCCCCGAAACGTCGCGATTTATTATTTGATTTCTATTATTACTTCTATTCATTTTATTTTTTACCTACGTGACTTCATCAAAAAAGCCTAAGAGTACAAATCTTGCAGTCACGAAAGCTTCAAATCTAGAAAGAAACACTTGAATCTCATGACGTGACACCGAATTCAAGGTTTTGTTAAATTGAGGAAAAATGGCCTCAAAGAAAAGAGAAAAGGAGGAGGAGGAGGAAGTCCACCAACAAATGGAGGCAATGAAATCCGCTCATGCGCAGGCGCTCGATAGATATTTTTGCATCGCAAAATCACGAGGTGGCGACGGACGCTTAGCGAGGCCTTCATCCAGTAATGGATTAATCGTGACGGCTGTGGCTTCTGCTGCTGACGATGATGATGATGCTTTATACATTACTTAATTATTTACACTGTCACCCATCCCCCATAACCAGAAAGGCTCGCTCCCTAATGAGTCCGGCTTCAGGGTTTTTTTTTTACTGCACCACTAAATCAGTGGGATGATAAAGTAGGTGACGACGACAACGATGATGACCAGACGACCACCGGCGATGAGTTACCGCGACAGTTCAGCAGAGACGCATGCGGCTCTGAGAATCAGAATCATGATTCAAGACTGGAGGAATCCGATGACCTATGAAGCTCTTTGTTCACAGATATCCAGCCGGGGCACGGGGTAAGAACGCTACAACAAACATCACAAAAACATGATAGTAGTGTAAATTACAGTAAAACCTTGGATTGCGAGTAACCTGGTCTGCGAGTGTTTTGCAAGACGAGCAAATTTTTAAAATAAATATTAATTTGATAAACGAACGGTATACGCTTTGTCTGCCGAGCGTCACGTGATCACAAATGAGCCGATGGTTCTTCTCTCTCTCTCTGTGGGATTGTGGGTAATCGTCTCCCATGCTCGGTCTAAGTCGGCGTGCCTCACTCGTATAGTCAACATTCGAGCGAGCTTATACTGTTTACTGTAGTGTTGTGACCACGTGTGTGTGCGTAAAGCATTTTTAAAATTTTGTGTCCAAGTGTAGTGACTGTTCTTTAGTAACTGTACTGCAAGTGAAAGTCCTCCTACACAATAACACCCCTCTCCTCTCTCTCGTCTCCCTCACACCAGCCACGATTAAATTTAATGAATTAATTTGATTACTTTCTATTAAATTTAAGTAATAAAAATATTAAAAGGTATTTTGTATTAATCATTTTTATATGAATACAGTATTTTTGGGTTGTCGAACGAATCATCTGAGTTTCCATTCTTTTTTAGGGGCAAATTCGCTTCGATATACGAGTGATTTGGATTACGAACACGTTTGCGGAATGAATTGTGCTCGCAATCCAAGGTTTTACTGTACAAGAAAAGTAAACAAATCACCCAAACACATACAAATAAAACCAAACCATCCCTATCCTACCAGGGCTCATTGCACTCTGTCCACTGTGCAATATCCCAAGCTTTTCCCTTGCCAATTAAGTCAAGGTCCGATTTAAAGCTATCGTGACTGCAGGGATTCATCTTCTTGGTTCTTTCGGTAAAGTCACGTAGAAGGGAAATAATAAAATAATAAAAATACAACATAATAAAATAATTCTCACGACGTTTCGGCCACAACGCAAGCAGCCGTCCTCAGGTGAAGAACAGGTCTGTCAGACGCTGTCTTTCCGACAGACCTGTTCTTCACCTGAGGACGGCTGCTTGCGTTGTGGCCGAAACGTCGTGAGAATTATTTTATTATGTTTATTTTTATTATTTTATTATTTCCCTTCTACGTGACTTTACCGAAAGAACCAAGAAAATTAAGTCAAGCTTCGTCAGAGCTACATTTTCACCATTCTGGCGAATTGCCCGATGATGCTGGATGCAATTACCAGCGAAACGTCGTACTACTCAAAAAATCGTAAATGTTGTGGTTTCACGCTTCAACGCACCGGTGGGCTAAAGTAGTGAACTATTTTGTCTTTTTTCTACGTGACACTTTTTTTTGCTGAATGGCCGTGTCGGGTGGTGGAGGGTTATGACACATTTATAAATAACGCGATCTAACCCAAAAACGTTGATCATGAAGAGCTACATTTAAGTCCATCTTGAAAACTCGCCTCTTTAAACCGGCCTTTAAACCCCCACGCGCTGAGCCTGTTTACCCCCGGGACTCTGTTAATTTAATGCTTTCCATGCATGGGCGCATTTGGGATCTACGGATGAAACGCGCCCTACAAACGTACATTATTGTTATTATTATTAAAAGATTAACATTTACTACAGCACGCGTGAGTGTATTTGCCACGTTTTTACCGCGATCGTGTTTTTCACCGCAACTTGACAACAAAAATGATCCACTCACTTTTTGCTGGAATTGCCAATGACAGAAATAAACGTGCAACTCTCTGGTGTCAATATCGCCATCAGCCGTACCAACGGCAAACGCCGGAGTCAAAGCGATTTTCCTGCTCAAATGAGTATTAAGGAATCGGTGCTTATCTTACAAGCGAGTTGGTGGAAATTACAAAGGCCTATGGTGGGCGGTGAGCTTTAATCTTATCTTCAGGACAACTTCTGTTGACTTCCCCCACGAAGTTGTATGTACAGTAAAACCCCTCTTAACGACCACCCCTGTTAACGACTAATCGCTTAACGACAGACCCCCATAGAGCCCAATGTGTAGTATATAGTAGTGTATAGTGTAGTGTATAGTACTGATAGGAACCTCCTGGTTACACCAGCCCACAGGGGATTATTGTGTCCGTCCGTCGTGCAGGGAGGGGCTGGGTGGGGAGGGAGGGGCTGGGTGGGGAGGGGCTGGGTGGGGAGGGTGGGGAGGGGTCGGGTGGGGAGGGGAGGGGCTGGGTGGGGAGGGAGGGGCTGGGTGGGGAGGGGCTGGGTGGGGCTGGGTGGGGAGGGGAGGGGCTGGGTGGGGAGGGTGGGGCTGGGTGGAGGGTGGGAGGGTTGGGGCTGGGTGGGGAGGGGCTGGTCACCCCGTGGTGCCCTTATAAAACTCAACGTTCAACCTACTCACGCCGGCTTGTGCCCGCCCTCACAGTCGGGCATATTTG